GAAGGGAGATGAGTTAGATTTGCTGCGTTTGTGCTGGGCTCCTGCAGCTCAGGCAGCCGAGGGGCTTTCACAGAATGATATGGGGTTGGAAGGGACCTCTGGAGATCATCTAGTTCAACCCCCCTGCCAAAGCACGTTCACTTCCACAGGGACAGTCACCAACCGAGGAGCACAACCGAGGATCTTCTGTGGTAGGGGAGGGAGCTTCTGGGAAGGGGGCAGAGAGATCACCCAGCTGAATACTGAGGATCCCCTTCCTGCTTCAGAGGAGGAACTTTGAATTGCCCGACTCTTTACAAAAGCAAGCCAAGTGTGTGCACAGTTCCTAACTCTACGCAGGCTATAACCATCTGAGAACATAGTCTGGTAAGGACACAAAAAATAAGCCTGACCTCTGCTCACTGCTTTATCTCATAGCTGGGCGTACCTCAGATTTATCATTCCAGACACTAAAAACAAATGCCAGTCAGAACTTCTAGCTGTCCTCTCTTCTGGCACTAGCTATCTTTCAGTTTTATGAGGAAGAAAAGGGAGTGTTTCTGCTGGGTGTTACGCAGTTCGCACATAGAAATGGCTGAGAAGTACTCCAAGTCACTAAACATTCATCCTTGTGTACCTTATATATTCCGGTATTGTTAAAAAGTTAGTCCACCTGATGCCAGTGACAGGTTTGTTCCCCAGCCCCTGTGTACACAGGCAGAAACGTTTTGCAAAATATCCATATTGTTTGTCAACAGCACTATGAGAAGTGACAGATGCCATATCTAATGGCTGTCTCATCTGCAGGGGATGTCGAATTGAAGCTTCATTAACTAAATAGTTTCATTAAGTTTTTCTTTGAAACATCTTGGGTTGTTAAAGAAAGGAACAAATGAACATTTTGAGGATGATGTTCGTGCCTGAAGGAGTTTCCCACCCCAAACATAGCTGTAACATACTCCTGATCTTCGCCACTGTGTAGGGAGGTCACTGCATTAACTACACAGAGATTTTAATAAAAGAAGGTATTTTAATGCGAATGTGTCATGTTCTGGAGTCGTGATGATTAGTGTAGCTGCAGTGGTGCAGCTGGCCAGCATAGACATGGCTTGTACTGTGGCAGTCACCAGCTCACCCCACGGGGGAACCCCACTAGTGACTGGGTGGGCAGAACCTCAGGGGAAGGCTGTGTGCTCTGATGAGTTTTGGTTCTCCGGGGCACCGTGTGTCTCATTTCTTTCTGCTCCTTCTCTTAACAGCAATATCAGTGTAGCCCTTCCTACGCTGTCACTAGTGCAATCTGATCTAAAGAGTAGACTGATTTCTGAAAATGCTTTATTTTCCAAAGAGAAAACAAAGGTAATCTCACTAGGGCTGCGTGCCCATTTTCAGACATGCTTTCATGAGCAGACTCTTGCACTCCAAAGAGCAGGAAGAATAGCGTAGTCCTTCTGCAACGCACACTGACAACACAAACACGCTTGCACATATGGAATAAAGTGATTTAATGTAATTTAGGACAAAGTTAAAGTAACAAGAATAGATAAATGACGGCAATTCTAAACTCTGAAACTGAGATCACTAGTCAAATTGGCGATAAAGAACTCCAAAAAGGAGGGCATGCAGGATTTTTTTAATAGGAGAAATGAAATAATCAGAAAAGAAAAACCTCCTTGAAGTATGTATGCATTTGAGACAGGAAAGCATGCAAGGCCAAGGGCAGCCAGCAGAAGCGGCTCTGAAGCAGGGGAAGGATTTTCTTCTTGTGTTTCTTCAGAGAAATACGAATCAGGAACCCTAGGCAGTTTCTGCACTACTGGTGATTATCGGTCTGACAAGTGTCAAAGTACAGAACATATTTCTGGATTCTTATATAGTGTATACAAGACTCTACAATGTGGGTCAAGTAAAGATGACTTTTGGGAAGACCTTCAGAAACAGGCCAACGTGCAAGATCTACGCATAGTTCAAAATGAAAGAGTTTAAGACAAGACAGTTCAGCTTTTTGAAGGACTTGCTAGGGGCTTCAAAGAGATGAGTGTTTGGAAAGCCTTTTGAGTTCATTAATTTCTTGTTTTAAGGGGGCAAGAAGATCGATATAGTAGTATATTTTCTATCAACAGTTTCCTGTCCCAGATACCACTCAGAAAACAACCAAAACTTAAGCTAAAGATGACCGTTCTTTACTGTGCCTTGTTGAATGAGCTGTGTCTCTCACCTTGATTTACTTGCAAATTTCAAAAGAACTGCCTAAAAGGTTTTTTCTAAATAAGATAGATAGAAGAATTTTCCCTCTCACAAATACTTAAATTCAGCTGAAGTCTATCTAGTTATCTAGTAGTATCTAACCACTGTTATGGTTTGGATTTCTTTTTAGTCCTGTTTATTTGTATTAGTGTCATCAGACAGGCTTGATTGGGATAGTAGACTATTTGCATAGGTGTGTATTTGTTTACCTTCCTGGTGGTCTGTGTGCAAATGCTAAATTTTTCACAGCATTTTAAAATTCTACCTAGGTTCATGCAATTGGAACAAATTTTGAGTGACCATTTTCAGAGTGGAACATGCAGGTAACCTGACAGTTATTACTGATTGAACTGTTTGTGACTGTCAGGGAGAGGAAGGAAAAAAAAAAAAGAAAAACTATGTATAACACAGTCGCTTTGGCACTACAATCTGTATTATTGTCTCACATCTACTGCTATTTTTTAAGCTGAGCAAGAGGAACACGGTAACGTTTGAGGGATTTTGGTCTGAGACAGCATATTTAGAGTGGTGCACCCTTGTCTGCAAAGACTTAGAACTGCACTTTAAAACAACATTATTTTGCCAATGAAGCAAGTCTTTTTTTGTTGTTGGTTTATGGTTGGATGGTTTGGGGTTTACAGTCACTTTGGCACTACAATCTGTATTATTGTCTCACATCTACTGCTATTTTTTAAGCTGAGCAAGAGGAACACGGTAACGTTTGAGGGATTTTGGTCTGAGACAGCATATTTAGAGTGGTGCACCCTTGTCTGCAAAGACTTAGAACTGCACTTTAAAACAACATTATTTTGCCAATGAAGCAAGTCTTTTTTTGTTGTTGGTTTATGGTTGGATGGTTTGGGGTTTTTTTGCATATTGGTAAAATTTCGTTAGTCACTGGCCTTGTATGTATAAAGAGAGAGTAAATTTAAACACAGTATCTTTTATACTTGTGACTTCTATTTGAAAATCTTAGTCAAAGGCTTTTTGGAAATAAGGTTACAGAACAATTATGAGCAACCACAAACCGAATGTCCCTCCTTTATGGAAATGACCACTAACAGATTTTTCTCAATATATATGCTTCTTTTGCATAGAAGTGAGAAAAATGGTGTTAGGAAGCTCCACCCAAAACACAGTGTCATCTTCTCAGCCGTAGGTCCGGCCAAGCGTGCGTGCTGATATGATCCTCATCGCATCGGGGCAGATCTGACCTTTGACTGGTACTTGGGCAGTTAATCCCAAAGCAGATTTTGGCTAACAGGTGTTTCAGAGGATGACACTTTGATCTTTAAATATTCATTATTTTATTCTACTGTGCAGATGGCCCACGGAGCACGTTCTAGAGCCAAAGCAGCAACACCCTGCCTGTATTGAGTTTCACATGGACCTTGTCTTCTACAGGGTTAACAGTCTGGAGCCTCTTATAAAGCAATTTGTCAGCCAGCTGGCCTTTCAAGTAGGCAGCCGTCTAAATACAGAGATAAATCTGTGTGTCAGGTGCCAAGTGGCAACCTGCAATGAACAGATAAGGAGAAAGAGTATACAATTACACCTCATTTCAATTTGAAGACTGCCACAATTCAAATGCCAGGAAGTGCTGTGATCACACTTCTGCTTTCAGTCAAACTGTATTTCTCCAGCTGAAACAGTAATAATAGACTTTGACCCCCAATGCTACAGGCACACACAGTTTGAAGGGAGAGGGAAGAGACTCAGCACCCGTTCCACATAGAGACAAGGGGAGAAGCTTGCTCCCTGCAGGGCTGTGCCCCAGGTACAGTGTCCCTGTCTCCTTCTGCAGCAGAGGTTCTGGTGTGTGTGTGTGTATAATCATTGATATCTGCACGTGGCATCTCTTACAGGACAGTCACTCCAGGCTTTTATAGCTGCGGCTCTATTTTGTGTTCAGTTTCAGGCTCATTTCTAACAAGACCCTTTTCCATTGAGAGAAATCAGGTGTTTCTAATTGTGAATCATTCTGGATGGAAATGAAACCATAAATAGTATTTAATGATCTTTTTTGCAGGATTTTTCCCCCCCCGTGGATTTTGTGGAATTTTTCATATTAAAAAACTTAATGAAGATAGTTTTAACCGAAGTTAAACAATGCAGCCATTTTGATTATTTCCTGTATTGCTTGGACCATGGATGGCTGAGCAGTAACAGTGGTGAAATTTCCTGAGTTTTCACTTCAAATTCTGTCGGTTAATTTTGGTCCCTTTCTCTGTTCCTTCTTAAAATGAAAATTTTAAGCTTAGGCCAACATGTTTAATTGCAGATCTTAGCAGTGCAGATGAACTGAGTTACGAGAAATACAGAGCTTGGGAGGAATTTAAGTGTTGCCTGTTTGCCCCAAAAGAGGAAGCGTACCAAAGCATGTAGATACGTCAGGAAGTACAGATTCTGAAAATAGACAAAGGATCCTGTATACCCCCCAAAATTGCTTTCACCTTACCAGCATGGACCTGGGTAATTTGTTGCTTATGCAAGTAGAATGTGCAGGGGTTTTTTGTAGATTCAACAAACCATCAGCTGTTTGTACACAACTTTGTAGCTAACAAAAATAAATAGTTTTTCCGAGTGTGTGGAAAGGGGGCTGCTGAAAGGGGCAGAGTTCTGTGTAACCTGTGTGTGCCTGTGAGAAGGATATTCAAAATTGTAGCAGAGTTAGTTGCAGTCCTTCCTCTTTCTCTAACTGAGCTCCATAACGTGGAAGAAGCGCTCAGTTAAGAGCTGAGTGAATGATGCTTTAATTCCTTGTGTCTTCCCAGGTGGTACCATGACAATCTTACCCGGCACGCAGCAGAAGCACTGCTGCTTTCCAACGGGCAGGATGGAAGCTATCTCTTGAGGAAGAGTAACGAGAGGGAAGATCTGTACTCCCTCTCTGTAAGGTAGAGTATGACAGAAGTGAATTTATCTCATGCCGCGCAGCTAGCAGTTTTACAGACTTCACTCACTCTCATGTTTTGTTTTTGTGTCTCATGCATTGAGATGGCCTGCAGATTTTTTTCCTAGGGCTTGAACTATTTTAATATTTATTCCTAATGTATTGGTATAATTCTGCTGCATGACATTTTGTTAAAAGGAAAGCAATATTTTCTCGAGTGGATTTGAAAATTGCTCTCATTTTTCCAAACCATGGATTAATCTTATGGGGAAAAACATCATTCCACAGTTTGGCTGCAGATTTTCTGTCTGCGTGATAAGATTCTGTATGGCAGTTACAAGACTTTAAGGAACAGCTGATGGGAGTAGAAGAGTTTTATGGTGAGAATAGTAGCAAATATACCAGTTAATAGACATGCTACCATCACCAGTGTCTGGATCACTGAACAGGAACCATCATCTCTGAGGGATGATCTAGCATTTGGCTGGATGGTTTTACTCCTCCATTCTGGGCTAAAACTCAGTCTTAGCCAGTAACATGTGACTGATTTGCACAATATTTTGCAAGTGACATATTGGGCCCTTGAAGTCAATGACAGCAGTTTACAGCAGTTCAGGACACAGCCTATACAGAGCACAGGTAGCCTGGCCTGGGTACTTCACCACTGAATCACATTTAAAGAGTCTCCCAAGAGGGAGAGAAACCACAATGTTTCAGAGAAGTGAAATGAAAGATGTCTGTTACACACACAAGGTAGTCCCCACATGCCAGCCGAGTGAAGGTAATTAACCTTAAATACATTCTTAGCCTCTGGAAGCTGTATGATATATTAAGCCTCTGCAGTGAGATTTTTAAGCTAGTGCATGCAGGCTAATTTCTGCCTCAGACCAAGCCTCTGAACAATTAGTGACCACAGCTCAGCTGAACTGCTGTAACTTTTTAAGCTAAAGCCAGTTTGATCAGTATAACCATGCTAGTTATTCACAACCCTAACAGATAGGAACACAGCATGTGCCCTTGAAATTGTGACTTTATGTGTATTTAGTACCAGGAGCTGTTATAATTTGGAAGCGTAGTCGCTTGGAAACTGAGAAAAGCACAATTTGCACATACCCTGTTCCCCACGGGTGTAAAAGGCAAACATGAATTGCTTCACTCATCTGACAGAAGACCTGGGAGCAGGTGTGCCTATACATACGCTGCTGAAATTACTACCTCTGTAGGCAGCCATTTGGACCAGGAGCTTGGGGCAGTGCCCAGCAAATCTGAAGCTGATGGTACAAAACGGGTATTCAGAGTGGCAATGACTCAATTGAGTGCAAGTCTGGGGAAAAAGAATAGTAGTATTTATAAGTAATAGCTCTCCTTGAAAAAAAAAGTGATTTTAAATAAATTATTGCCTTGCTGGTTAATATGTTTTGACTTTAAAATGTAACTAAATATTATTTGAGGTACTCTACCTCAGACAATTTAAAAAAATAAATATCTGGAAGCTAGTTTTAAAAGGGATTCAGGAAACAAGTTACTGTAATAAAATTTAAATAGCTGTTCTATTAATAGCTTACTGTAATAAAATAAAATTTAAATAGCTGTTCTATTAATAGGAAATGGAAACTAAAGTGTTAGTTTAATTGTTAGTTGGTGAAAATAAATTTGCTGCTTTAACAAATTCTAGCCTTAGAAGACCCAGAAAAGTCTACTTCAGGCCAATTCTAATCTCTTGTTTAGTTTTCCCTGTAGGAACAAGAGTTATTTACTGTGTTACCTTATGAATTGAATATCCTATTTGGGAGTTTGAGCTTTTATTCTGTTACATTAGGTTTTTTTGGTGGCACAGCTCCTTTGAAGTACTGTTTTTGATTTTAAAATGCTTTGATAATTTTCTGCTTTTTGTTTAACTCTAAGTTTTCCTTTCCATTTTTTGACTAATATTAAAACTTAATTTTAGAGGAAATGGAAACTAAAGTGTTAGTTTAATTGTTAGTTGGTGAAAATAAATTTGCTGCTTTAACAAATTCTAGCCTTAGAAGACCCAGAAAAGTCTACTTCAGGCCAATTCTAATCTCTTGTTTAGTTTTCCCTGTAGGAACAAGAGTTATTTACTGTGTTACCTTATGAATTGAATATCCTATTTGGGAGTTTGAGCTTTTATTCTGTTACATTAGGTTTTTTTGGTGGCACAGCTCCTTTGAAGTACTGTTTTTGATTTTAAAATGCTTTGATAATTTTCTGCTTTTTGTTTAACTCTAAGTTTTCCTTTCCATTTTTTGACTAATATTAAAACTTAATTTTAGAATAAGTAATTCAATTTTGTTCTACATTTTTGTAGACAATTAGACAATTTAGAAATTCTAGCTGTCATTTTCTTCTGAAAAAAAAAAAGTGTCTTCTGTAGCTTTTAATTAAATTTTTTTCATTTTTGTTCTACATTTTTGTGGACAGCATAACTTTAGAAATTCTAGCTGTCATTTTCTTTCTCTTCTGAAAAAAAAAGTGTCTTCTGTAGCTTTTAATTTCTGGCTCTGCCTCACAAGGAACTTCAGTCACTATTATAGTTTGTTTTAAAAGGAAACAATGCTTAGACATCCCTTGAAGTTTCTATTGAGAGCTGCAAGAAGAGGGACCAAGTATTGCCTGAAATTGGGTCCTCCAGCTGAATTAGCCAACTTTAAAAAAGGAAACAGAGTAGAAGTTGCTCTCATTGCAACATTGTATTTCTTGTGAAATTAAATTGAAAAGACGAAAAACCTGGGGTGTCACAGCAGCTATTTGGTGTTGTAGGGGCATCTGCACTTGGCTCGGGTTGTGTCTCAGCTGACTGTAGCACAAACCACACAGGAGGTCAATAGAGTCACCTTCTACAATATCACAAATACTGTTCAAAGATAAATATTTGTTTAAATTCCTGTTTGAAATTATGATCTCCTGTGGTAGTGGCAATAAACAATGGAGAAGGTGCTATAAATCCCTTTCTTCACCATATTTTCAGTGTATTTGCTATATACTTTTTTCCTGAGACAAAGTTTTGTCTGGACTATTTTGGATGCTATTAACAGAAGTAACTTTTTCACAGGAGAGATACTTGCCATAAGTGCTTCAGTGTCCTCTGAAGTCAAAATACATGCCCATCCAGGAAGTGAGGCCTTGCACACTTCTCTAAATACAGCTTTCATAAACAAATGCTGTTACTTCCCTGGCAAAGGACCCTGGTTCACGTTTGACATGGCCCACCGTAGAGGAACCATTCATCTGAGCATAGAGACAAAGCACACACTTTCTAAAGCCTTAGGTATCTAAATAAATCCCTGCTTCAGTGAAGGACACAGCCTATTTTTGAAAGGGAAACAAGATATTGCCCACCATAGAGGAACCATTCATCTGAGCACAGAGACAAAGCACACACTCTCTAAAGCCTTAGGTATCTAAAGTTAGGTTATTAAATCCCTGCTTCAGTGAAGGAGACAGCCTATTTTTGAAAGGGAAACAAGATATTTTCAATGAGATCATGATATTACCTGAAAAGACAGACATATACTGAGTAATATAGATACACCATCAAGACAAAAGCCTGGTAAGAGAAGGGATATCATCCTGCTTAGACAGAAGGCTGAAAACCTCGTTTGTGACTATTTTATTGATTGCTGCAAGAGTTAATTTAACTTACTTGACCTTTCTAAGCTTTCATTATCTTCTACCTGTAAAGCAGCAGTAAGATTTTTCTTATTATCTCCTACCTGTAAAGCAGCAGTAAGATTTTTCTTAATAAATCTGTGTCTCAGGTGTTGAGTATTAGTGAGGGACAGTAACAGCAGTAGTGTTTCTGCTAAGACAGTGACTGGCAGCCTGTGATCCGGGCAGATTTCCTGTAGTGGAAGCTGCTATTTAAGGGTTGTACATGCCAAATGTCTTTGGCATTTATACCTTGACAAATACTCCTTTTTTGTTTCAGGGGAAAAGATTCTGTGAAACACTTCCACATTGAACATACAGGAACTTCATTCAAATTCGGATTTAATGAATTTTCTAGCTTGAAGGAATTAGTCATGCATTTTGCAAATCAGCCTTTAATTGGAAGCGAAACAGGTAAGGAGAGCCATATGTTTGTGTGAACACATTTGTAGTCATGCATCACAGAGATCTGATTAAAAGGAGATTCCAGCGTGTTATCAGGTAGATCTATTGCTGAAGTGTTCCTCTTCACGTTTGTATTAACCTCTGTATTTTGTCAGAAATTCACGTTTGTATTAACATCAGGTATCTAAGGTGCTCCTTTTCAAAAACTCTTTCAAGTACTCCAAAGACAAACCACATGTAAGCTTACTGGGCTTTTGCTAACTGAGGGCATGAGCTCCTTTTGATTTCTCTGAGAAGGAATCATTTCAAAATACAAGTGTATTGGGAGGAGCAGAACCTTCTCAAAAAGGGTAAAACCAAAGCAGAGTGTTTAGTGAGGAAATACGTGTTTGTCTGTGAAGTTGAAATCCCCCAATTAGAATAAATGGAAGAGGGACTTGAAATTCTTTAGCTCCACTATTCTTCATCCAAGGAAGAAGTCTACAGTGACATGTTTCTTTTTTCTGTAGGCAGTGTGTCCTGTATTATGTCTCCCTTTCTGTCTACAGCAGATCAGCCTCCTGATGCCATCTGCTATCACATTGATTTGTCTTGGTTTTAAGAAAAAGAAAGAAAAATACAGGCTTCTTTAGCAGCCAACATGCTACCTGAATTTAGAGTCAAAAGATTAAATTTGATTCCTACAAGTGAGTTGAACACCACCAGGCCAGAATCACTGGAGAAACAGATGCATATTATAATGATAAGGCCAGTTTTAGGTTTAGTTTCAAATATAACAGCTGAAGATATGTCAGTAAAAGTAAGTGCCAGAAGCTTCAGTATCCGGTGTAGAAAGTGTATGCAAATAACACAGAGTAGTACTAATTATATATGCAAGAGACCAGTTAAATAATAGTTGGCATATGCAATAACTGTAATATGTCACACACTAAATGCTCTTGTAACACAAGCATTAAATTCAAGGGTGGCTTTGCAATTTTTTTTCCATGAAGCAAAATGCAGTGGTACATTCAATATGGCACTTACCATTCAAAGCATTATTTTTTTATGTTGCTTTAAAGAACATTTAGAACACAGAGTTCCCACATGTCTTGTGTGCCAGTAAGCTGTTTTTTCCTGCCAAATCAGACATGCACCCACAGGCCTAACACTGTAAAGATTTTAGTTGACATATAAAGCTTGCATTTCCCCATTCCTTCACTGCACGTGTTACAGACATTAGCCATCAAGGCATTGGTGTTATGTGATCTCTGTGGACAGGATCAACACTGCTGAATGATGGGCTCACTTGTCACCTTAAAGCTCCCTAATCAGATTCTGCTGGCTCTGTGAAACCTCTTTAAGTTGGATGTGCTACAGAATAAGAAAAGCCCTTTGAACATCATATCAAGAAACCTTCTACCTTAACCTTATCATGAACAGCAGTAGAGTGGAAGAGACTACTCAGGGAATGTCCCATCAAATACAGGTGTCAAAGGTTTCCTGGGCAGTAACCAATTTATACCAAAAAGGGGGTAGAGGCTCGTCAGAGCCCACTCTAAGCCAAGGGTCAGTGTTGCAGAAAGACTGGCCCAACACAGGGTCACACAACAGAAGGGCCAGCAACAGAGTCTGATTTCTTAGGCCTCGCTTCCTTTCAGTGAAAAGCAGTAAGTGACCTTTGGCTCAGGCATTAGTAGAAAGTAGTTGGACCAGTTTTTCTTATTCCTCCTTACGCTTACAAACAGGTTTTTTTTATATAGAAACACTGTGAGCTCAGGAGTAAGACAGCATGATAGCGTTTTTCATCTCCTCCTTGATTATGGACAGGATTTTATAGAAGAGAGACCCACAAATAGAACTTGTAATGGTTTCCACTATCTTCCATGTTAATTTTGTCTCACTGGAGCTAGTTTGAAGAGGCACACCAGACTCTGATCAGTACTTGAACACACAGGCCTATGGAGAACAGTGGTTCTTTCATACTGGGACAGCTGCAGGTTTGTGCTTCAAGCCCAAAAACCTTGTCTTACTGCAGGGTTTCCCCTCCAAACTGCTGCATGGTCTCACATCTATTTTTCTGCAGCATAATATGTACACTTCCTTCTGAACTACAGGCAGCTGAAACTGAGGCTACTGTGTTCTGTGTGATGGTTTATGGAATAGGCAGGCTGAATCTGTTCAGTAACAATATAAAGCAATATACCATCATATTTCTATATTTCTGTCTTTATTCAGAGTGACAGGGTCAACATGTTTTTCTTATGTGTTTGCTTTGTTTATCAGTTTTCACCTAAAGTATAAAACAAAAACTTTAAGTCATTACCCAGGTAAAAAAGCCAGTCACTTGAAGCTAACATTTCCAACAATGGGACTAATTTATATTCTTCCACAAATCCAAGACAACTCTTGTTTCAGTGCAGCTTTTACTAGTTCTTTTGTACAGTTACCAGATGATTACGTACAAGTATCTTCTGTGGAGAAGAAACATGGAGGACTTACTCGAAAACCAATACTGTATAAAATGTTAAACTAGCCCTCCCAGTTCTGCAACAGGGCTCTTTATCCACAGTGTACAGCTGCTGATACTTCTGTTCTGTGCAACAGCTTAAGAGTGGTTTCTCTAGACTGGTGATGGGGGCGTTCTCAATTTCATTTTAAATAGTGACGCGTTTTCTTCAGAGTGAATTAAATTGATTTTGACTATTCACTTATTGCACGTTGAATATATCATGTTTGCATACACACTCTGTGCCCGCAAACAGATTTCAGTTGGTTACTTCAAATGCAATTTTTCCACTTCCTTTTGCAGCCCTTCGCATTACAAAACATACTTTAAACTATTTCACTTTTAAGTTACTCAATCACCTGTAGGTTTCAAGTTCAAGTTCTTACCAATTCTAGCATCCCTCCTCTTTAAGGGCTGACAATAATCAGCATAAAAATGCAAATGGGGCAGCATTTGGTATGCTGTGACATTATTTTTAAAGAATGAGATTAGATGGTGTAGCAGTTACTATTATAAGGAGGTTTTTCACTGTTGTGAATAGTGAAATAGATTCACTATCCAGAATGCAGCTTTTTGTAGAGAACATGCAATGAACATTACCTGCTTTGGAAAACAAAGAATGGCTATAATCAAAATGTTGCTAACTGGAAAGAACTATGGTGAAACAGTTAAAGGTGACGGTAATGTGGACTTACTATTGGGAAGGCTATATCCTAAATTCTGGCAGATAAAGTAATTTACGCAGCAAGCAGCGGGTTGTTGGCAAAACCAGGATGACTGTTAGGGCCTCATATCTAGTCTAGCATCCTGCCTGTCCACCCCACCAGCCAGCCTCCTGTACAGGAAGGGAATTTAATGTGTCAGGGGATCGATTCCCTGCAAGCACTAGTAAGTTTAAAGGTTTTAAAAAGGCACTGTATACAGAAGTGAAGAGGGTTTTCAGTCTTGTTTCAGAGATGTAAGAACAAATTGACTCTCACCATCCAGGGATGGGGGAATGGAATTAGGCAAGATCCAAATGCCCAAAGCATTGAGGACTCCAAGCAAGACAATAGAGCCAAAAAAGTAAGACTGGGCAAACAAATCCAATGCCAAGTACCCCTTTGTAGTTTTCAGGGCTGGATTTTTATAGAAAATACCCCTTGCAAAGGTGATGTGGGTTAGAAATATTTGTCTGGTTTTATCAGTGTGGGAGTAATTTATAGTGTCTGATTGTTTTCTGGCATGAACGTGACTTGAGTCCTGCCCCCTTCCAAGGAAAACCCCTTACAGGGAGCATCACAGAGATCTTGGGGAAGTTATTGCCTTGTCCTAAAATTAAAAAGATGTAAGAGCTGAAGTTAATCATGCTGCAAACAGGCAACTGCTACCATTTATTTTCTAAGACTGTCTTGCCAGATGAGTTTCTCCTTCTCTTTTTCCTCTCCAGGAACCTTAATCGTACTGAAGCACCCCTACCCACGGGAGGTGGAAGAACCTTCCATTTATGAGTCTGTCCGAGTTCACACAGCGATGCAGACAGGAAGGACAGAAAGTGATCTTGTTCCAAATGCTCCCTCAGTAAGTTGTGTTCTGGTGCAAGGGGTGCTTCTCCTGATTCGGGTTTAGTACGACTGTTGGAGTGAACTACGGAATAACACCAATAATTCACCCTTTTATGGGTTCATAAATGCAGGAAGCCTTTCCTGAGCAGGGCAAAGCAAACACAGACTTGCTAGGTACAGTCCCATGACAAATAAAGCCTTTCACAATTGTTGTCACCGAGACATTCACTGGGAAAACATTGTCTACAGCTAACCTAGGTAAGCCTCACCCTCCAAACAAAGAATATATAGAAGGTTTTCAGTCTTCTGTTCTCTTCCTCTTAGAGTGCCATCTTAGCAGTAACATTATAAGCAATTTGAAAAACCACACCACATAAAACAAGCACGATTCTTCCATCTTTCTGACAACACTCCTCAGGCTGTGTGCGACAATATATATGTCAGGTTGTACTGTTAGCCCTTGTGTTGCCAAACATCCCTTACAGCCAGTCTCCTCCCCCCAACAGGTGAGGGGAGAAATACACTAAAGAGCAAAACAGTAAAAAGCTACAGGATTTACCACATTTTGTCTCACTCAGTGATTATGAGGATTAGATGACGGGAAGCAGTCCTCCCTGACAGACAGAAACTCATTACTTCTTATTTTTGCAGTCATCTTTGTTAGAATTATTTTGCCCAGTTAGTAATACACAGCCTCCTTCATAACTGGGAGAAAGGAAAGAACATCTGTGACTTTCTATTTAGGCGTGTTAGAAAATGACCTTTTGAAAAAAATATTCAAAGACATGCAAGACAGGCAGGGACACATTTGGAAAGGAAACCCCAAAATGAAGTGTGGTACAACCAAGTCGTTAATATCTGTATCCTGATAGGCAAACTACTCAAAAGGGTTTTCTGGCATTTTCATACTTGGATTTTATTATTTTAGAATTGCCTTGTCTTAAAGCAGGAAGACAGTTTGCTGTATTCTGACAAAGTCTTAAACCCAAAATAGAGTGGTACAGCAGAAGAGCCTCCACCCTTTCAGCCCTAGTCATTTTGAGCACAGTAAAAAGCTGTGTCATACTAAAAGCTACACCTTACTGGTGTGAGAAACAAGAGAACATCTCCATATCCATTTGGACCACCTGCTGTGACATCTGTGACTCACTTGGACAGTAATTAGAGACTTTAAATCCCTAGTGACTCATATCTAAGCAAGACAGGTGGTTTGTCCAGAACAGTGTTGCTCAGAACAGAGAGGAAAGTTCTTAATGACATACTGTAGTATATTTTTGGAGAAAAAGACGACAAGTTACATTAATGTAGGCTAATAGAGTCAATAAAATAACTAGTTCTAATGTCTCACAACCAACCCTTCATGGCTGAGTTCCACTTCAACTTTAATGACATACTATAGTATATTTTTGGAGAAAAAGACGACGAGTTACATTAATGTGGGCTAATAGAGTTGATAAAAGAACTAGTTCTAATGTCTCTCACAGCCAACCCTTCATGGCTGAGTTCCACTTCAACCTCCAAAGGAACTTGACTTCCACATAAAACCAATAAAAAAAAAAGCAGTATTTTTTCAGGAGGAAGTAGTAATTAACATGGTAAGAATTTGGTTTTCAGAGATCAGCAGTCTCACAGTTGGGGCTCTGCCACAGAGTTTCAATGAGTACCTGAGAAATCATAAGGTCCCAGCGTCACTCATGGTGGCAGAGAAACAGTTCAACAAACACTTTCTCAGTTTGCATCTTGAATGAAACACATTTTTCCTCTTCAACATATGCTGTTTGAGAGAAGAAAATGCCTAAGTAAAACAGTATTTCCCTTGCATTTCGGGAGTGATTTCTGTGGGTAATTCCACTGTCTGGTAAACCCCAGGCGTTTCTGTTTACAACAGGCACAACCAACTAACCTTACTATTTACTTTACTAAACAAACTGTAACTGCAAGTATTTCACTGTGTTTGATTGAGAAGATGCAGGCCAGAAGCTTGCTGAGGGAGGCACGGTCTGAGAGCTTGCCTTGAGCCCCAGCACAGGTCCATGTTTACCCTCATGGTGGGTCCAGCCCTGTGAGGGGAGCACAGGAGTGAGGAGAAGGCCTGGGGCCACGGGAAGGTTCCCCAAGAACAGGCTGCTCTTTCATCTTATGGGTACAGGCAAAGATGTGGGAAATAGAAGCAGAGCTCAGTCACTAACCCCCATCCCTTTCCTTTTTCCTTCACAGCTTGGTACAAAAGAAGGATATTTGATAAAACAAGGCAAAATAGTCAAGGTAAGGAAAACTCTTAATCCTAGCTTCCATGCTGCAGTCACCTGCAGAAGCTAGAGGCAATGCAGAACTGAAATAGCTCCACCTGCATTCCCCTGCAGAGAGGAACAATTTGTGTTTTTAGCAACAATAACAAAGCACGACTGTAAACCAGAGCAAGGCAACAGCTTTAAAGGTTTTTGTTTCTGAAGAAGCATTATGCTAAATTCTTACAAGACAATTACCATCCATTCTTGATCTTTCAGAATTGGAAGACAAGGTGGTTTACACTGCATAGGAATGAACTTAAGTATTTCAAAGACCAGACAGTAAGTAGCAAACACCAGCTCTACTCTTTAAACCTCTACAGAGGCAGCTGCAACCTCCTCATCTCTCTGCCTTCTTGCACCTGCATCACAGCTTCCCAAGCCAAAGCTTCCCAAACTGTCAGACCTTTCAAATAAAGCCAGAATTTTGCTGATGACTTCAACAAGAGGAAGTTAGTAAGTTTTACAGCCAGAAAACATTTATTGTGCTCTCTCAGTCTTGCCTACTAGACAGAGTTGTTGTTTACCAGACATTGTTTGGATTTTAAGCTACCAGCACAACACAGCTTTTATTGGTAGCTTTGACACAAAACCTGACAGACAGCAGTGCTATGGAAATATTTCTGCAAATACTGGTAGTGTATTTTGCATTCCTCAATTCCATTCTTCTATTTCAAGTGGTCCCACAGTATACATAGAAAACCCTTCACTGAAAAACATCTTCCTTCTTAGCACTCTGCTGTCGATTAACCTGCTGCATCCAGGGAAAACAATTTATCCTTACAGTTGCTGTTCCAAAAGAAGAAATACCTCTAGAATTTCTCTACCCTTGCAATACCTCCAGTTGGGGTTCCTCCATAAACACAGCACAACTGTTTACCTCTTCACCCCTGCCAAGCCCTGTTTCAAGCATCTAACAGGTTTTAACACAACGACATACACAACTCCCCTCTCTCCCCAAACATTGCCATTTATAAATGGTTAAGTATTTGTGGCACCTTCCATCAGTTTTCATTTCAGTTCAAGCCAACTTGCATTGAGTTTCCAGGATAACATTTCAAAGAGCAGCACTCCAAACCTTTGAGCAGCATTTGTGACTTACCAGGTGAGAAGGTGTCTCTGTCCAGGAGCACGGCCTCCTCCCAGGCTCTGGTGTCTCCTGGCACTCCCCTTGTTACTGTGGGGTTGCAGATACCACACCTACAAGTGAGCCACTTGCTGTTGGCCCTGGGATGGCATTTATTAGCATGCCTCAGCACAAGCAGCTTTCTTCTGGGGCTGTGTGTGACTAACAGCTGCTAAGCCAGGGAATAACGTAAGGAAAGGTGAGAAAATGACACCCCCATGCACCTGAGGAAGGACCACAAGAACAGCTGAGGGCGTTTGGGTGGAGGGCCAGCTGCTCTTCCACTTCAGCTGCCTCTCGCAAGCTGCTGAAGAGGGTAAGGCCGAGAGAAACCAGTCAAAGAAGGAACTCCCACATTTCAGGGAAAGTAAAACTCTTAAGGGATAGTTGTAGTGAGTGCTCCTGGGCCTGTCCCCAGGGAGTTAGCTACACACACACTGCTCAAACAGCAACCCTCATCACTCCTGTGACAAACACTGCTTTAGCTTTGCCTCTGCGTTTCTCCCTACCCAGCTGTATCCTTTTAAAGCACTTAGGAATTAATGAAGTCTCCAACAGCTGGTTAGGCCTGATAAGACCTGTGACCATCCCCTTGTCTCTGTCAGCCTTAGCTGGAAGTTACACCACACGAGCTGCAGTGTCAGCGATGTTATGATCCATCAACCAAACCCTCAGCTGTCTACATCCAGCTCAGGCTTCCCCGCAGTAGAGATCTCCTTTGTTGTTTGTTTTGGATCTGAACGGACTGTCCTGGTGTTTTATATTTAGCTCAGTTCATCCCCCAGTGGCACTGTCGTTACCTTTGCTAGTTTGGGTTTGTGGTCTTACAGCTACTGCACCCATGCCTGTAAAAACCTCATGTGCCTGTAAAGGTCCGGGTGCATGGAAGATGAACTGAACGAGCCTTAGCTTCTGGTTTTGTATGTTCCTATTGTAAAACCGTTTTATTTTCAAGGCCACAGAACCAATCCGTGCACTTGACTTAACTGAATGCTCAGCTGTGCAATTTGACTATTCCCAGGAAAGAGTTAATTGTTTCTGGTAAGTTACCGTGCTTTCTCCACCTTGATGGGAATGTCAAAATTGCCAGGGAAGTTTGAAATGTAACCACTAGCTGCTTCTGAAAGTTCCCTCAACTGATTGTGACCCTGGTGTTCCTCTAACTCAGGAGCCCATTTCTGTCAGCCAAAATCTCACAGTCCTGCCATGTTTTGCCAGATTAGTGCTGGAAGAAGGGTTTTTTGTAGGCAAGGAGGAAGAGTGTAGGCCTATGTGTAGTGGGCATTGCTTTTCCTGATGCTGTAAGCATCTATAATCATCACCTCGACCCATGGAACTCGGGTGCAGTCCAGTTCCTGGCTCAAGCATCGCTATGGGGCACACAGTAACGGGTTCTGTGCCCAGGTGTGGGTCTGTTGTCCATATGGGCCTGGGGCCGCATCTCCCTGAGCTGTAAATGACTGTAAAATCTATCTAAAAATTGTCTATTCTCCCTGCCGCTGGCTACCTGGGGCAGCATCTCCCCGAGCTGTAAATGACTGTAAATCTATCTAAAAATTGTCTATTCTCCCTGCCGCTGGCTGAACAGGAGACAGCACAGCCTCCCTGCCCTGCTCTGTCCAAACACCTTGGTGCAGCCCAGCTGGGTTCAGTTTTGGGAAGAGCTACCAGTTGTTCTAGCAAGTAAGAAATAGTTTTAATCTTTTACTTGCAGTCTAGTGTTCCCACTAAGGACGTACTACCTCTGCGCGAAAACTGGAATAGAAGCTGACGAGTGGATTAAAATACTGCGGTGGAAACTGGTGAGTGGATGGGATGGACGTCCTGTGGTAGGACGTCGCAGGCAGCAGTGCCCTCAGTACTGCCACCATAAACCCTTTGTAGACTAGCAGTTCCCTTTGGAGACTAGCAGTTCCTTTTGTGAGGTGCTGAAACTGGAATACAAAACTGGAATACATTTTTTATTGGATCAGGCCAAGAAGGCCAATGGCAGGCTGGGGGGCACCAAGAAGAGTGTGACCAGCAGGTGGAGGGAGGTCATCCTGCCCCTCTGCTCTGCCCTGGTGAGGCCCCATCTGGAGCACCATGTCCAGTTCTGGGCTCCCCAGTTCCAGAAGGACAGGGAACTGCTGGAGAGGGTACAGCAGAGGGCTACAGAGATGATTAAGGGACTAGAACATCTCTCTTACGAGGAAAGGCTGAGGACTTGGGTCTTTTTAGTCTGGAGAAGAGAAGACCTATAAATACTTAAGGGAGGGTGTCAAGAGGACGGGGCCAGTCTTTTTTCAGTGGTGCCCAGTGACAGGACAAGAGGAAATGGGCACAAATTTGAACATAGGAAGTTCCATCTAAACATGAGGAGGAACTTCATCATTTTGAGGGTGTCAGAGCCCTGGAAGAGGCTGCCCAGGGAGGTGGTGGAGTCTCCTTCTCTGGAGACATTGAAAACCCACCAGGACATGTTCCTGTGCAACGTGCTCTGGGTGGACCTGCTTTGGCAGGGGGGTTGGACTAGATGGTCTCCAGGGGTCCCTTCCAACTCCATATCATTCTGTAATCATTGTGTAATTCTGTAACCCTCCCAGCTCTGTAGCACCCAGGTGCTAATGTTTCTCAGGGTCTGCAAGGAGGGAGTACTTGTTCCGGCTCCCAGGCATTAGCATATTTGGGATGCCCTTCTAACACACATCCTCATCATAAAGATGGAAGATTCTTCCCTCATAAAGATGGAAGAAACTACTTCTGTCTTTAAGGATGCCATTGTGTAGATGGCAAACACGATGGAGCATCAGCACAGGGCGCGTGTTGAGAGGTCATGAAGGAAGCCATGAGAAGACAAACGCTTGAGAGTATTACTTCCTTAAAAAATATCAGCGTTGGGGTTGATCACGCTCGGCCACATCCACACGGAGGCAAACAGCAACGGGTTGTCTTTCTGTTCTAGTCACAGATACGGAAGCAACTGGAGCAGCGTGAGGCCACCCTCAGCTCCTAGCGGTTGCCCCCGTGGCAGGAGCTGCTGCTTTGCGGAAGGGGAAGGTGTTGCTTACCAGAGGGTGGTCTCAGGTGTCTCCGTGACTGGCAGCGGGCACGTGTGTGGGTCTGTGCCTGCAGATGGGTGCTCACCTCCAGCTCTGCATCCACAGAGCTCCTACAGCCCAGCTCTCTCTGGCTGTTACTGTGGAGACGGTTGGTGGTTCCCCCCGTGGCAGGAGCTGCCGCTTTGCCGAAAGGGAAGGCGTCGCTTACCAGAGGGTGGTCTCAGGTGTCTCCGGAAGGAAGCCATGAGAAGACAAACGCTTGAGAGTATTACTTCCTTAAAAAATATCAGCGTTGGGGTTGATCACGCTCGGCCACATCCACACGGAGGCAAACAGCAACGGGTTGTCTTTCTGTTCTAGTCACAGATACGGAAGCAACTGGAGCAGCGTGAGGCCACCCTCAGCTCCTAGTGGTTCCCCCCGTGGCAGGAGCTGCCGCTTTGCCGAAAGGGAAGGCGTCGCTTACCAGAGGGTGGTCTCAGGTGTCTCCGTGACTGGCAGCGGGCACGTGTGTGGGTCTGTGCCTGCAGATGGGTGCTCACCTCCAGCTCTGCATCCACAGAGCTCCTACAGCCCAGCTCTCTCTGGCTGTTAGTGTGGAGACGGTTGGAAAAATGGGAGGGTTGGTCTGATACACATGGTGCACATCGTGCATGCTGGATCCAACACCTGCTTGCCAATGGCAGGGGCAGTGACTGTTAAAAACTTGGCTGGTTGTTCAGAGCACTCTGGATAATTTATTGTAAGCTCCATCACAACTAACCAACCGTTGGGATGCTCCACAGCCTCCAGCCGGTTATTTAAAGCCCAGTCCTTTCTGGAAACATTAAATACTTCTTTTGTATTACGTGTTTAGGCTCTAAGCCAAAAGAAAAATGACAGAGGTAATTATATTTTTGTAAATAGTGTCTGTATTACAAGCTAGGGAATATTTCAAGGCCCTTTTCCAGGTGATGGATGAGTAAGAGTTTGGTTTTTTTAGATTCATACGGTACAAGATGGCTGCAAGTGAACAGTTGTTTCACGCAGCATCACCCCAGCAGGCTTCTGTGCACACCAGGACTGTGAGAGACAGGCAGCTGGTTCCTCGTGTGCGTATGAGCCCCTTGAAAACAGGCTGGATTTTGTACTTTTTCCTCACCCAGAGAACTCAAAAGGAGGTTTTGTCCAGAACTATGTTCTAGAGTTAAGCACTGCTTGCTTTATATTAAACAACATCAGTACCAGAAAAGCACCAGGTACACTGAAAGTAAGTTTAAAAGAATCCATCTTCTGCATGGCCTGATTTCCATCTGTATTTTGGAAGACTCATACAGATGTGACAGTGTGGTGGCTCGCTACAGAGTTGAGAGGTGGAAGCCCAGTACTTTGGTGCTATAATCAAAATAGACGTTACATTTTGGAAGCCAAGCGTAACACGCTGGAGGGTCCCAAGACCAGCTTGGGCTGGCCTCAGGGCTGACCCAACTGCAAACTTCCTTCTTCTGGTGGTGTGTGTCCTTCTCCCTGCCTAATTGCTCAAGTTTCTGCTGAAACAGCACACACCAACCCCTCCTGCTGTGCAAATGCTGCAGCTCAGGGCTCACACAGTAGGTCAGCATTCAAAAGGTGCCTTTACTGTGACAAGACTGAAGAAATTCTAGATTTGGACGTAGGAATAGCGTTTTATTTCGACTTAGAAATTAAAAATATCTGTAAATATTTTTATACAGACTGTTTTCTGAATAAAATGTCATTATAAAACTCCCAAAGTATTCACGTACTGTTAAAGCTTTGCTCTCCTTTTTCCTTTAAAGAAGTGGCTTAACTGGCATCTCCCATATAGTTAAAAAGCTTTGATGAGTTTGTGTGAGATAGAGACAGCGTAAGGGGAAGAGAGAGAGTTTCCAGCTGCTTCTGTCAAACCAGCAACAGAAAGCTCCAGCCAGGAGTTCAGTTTAAAAGGAAAAGGGTTGAGTGACAACTTTAAATTTCTGTGAGGGCTTTTGAGCCAAGGCTTCCCAGCACTGCTGTTTCCCCCCAGCCTGAGGTGGAGACCTGGGAAGAGCTCGCCCTTAGACCAGAGGTACTCTTCCTGCTGGAAGTCTGCCCTGGAGTCACCAGGAAGGGAATGTGGGAGGGAATGAGGAGGGGCAGGGGCAAAGAGCATTCCCATCCCCAGCAATAGGAAGCCAGTCAGCAGCAATCTCTGCATCAGCATGGGACTCTGCATCACCTAATGGAGACACACCCTGGGTAGTTTTAAGCCCATAAACTCCTGGATTTTGTATTTACAAGCAATTTAGTGACCCGTTCTCTCCACAGAACAGCTGATGTGCTCTAGAGTATTATGGGGCAACAGAAGAGCGGACCAGGCTCTGTCATTTAAAAATACTGTATTTTATTTATATTTATTTACTTAGGAAAACCTAAGGGTAAATAAGCTGAGAGTGTCACCAGTGATGAACCCCCCCCAAAGACTAAGACATGAGATCTTCACAACCATATTACACAAAAAAAACCCCATGAAGAAACGCAGACACTGTTCGGGTGCTTTTATCTGGGCATCAGGAAAACACCTAAAGCAACACCTTTCATAGAAATAGTTTTCTTCTTAGTGGAAGCAGGATGCAGCCAGCATCCAGATTAGTAGCATTCCCTTGCCAAAGTATCACCCAGGTGAGAAAGCCGGGATATTTATCTGATTGTACCGACACATGGCTGCTGGGAAACCCTCTCTGGCAACACTCTGTCAACCACATCTTTGATAATGCTCTACAACCCATCTGCTTTCCAAGACACCGTGGTAGCCGGCCCGAGGATGCGCCCCTCCGCGTGCCCAGTTCCCTGCAAAGCAGGAGAGACCTGTGGGTTGCTCCTCCCAGCCCACAGCATCCGGCCGACGGGGCTCCGCTGGCCGAGCCAAACTCCATGGGAGCTATCTGGGTGGTCTCTCCAGCACTGCACAAGACGAGAAGCGTGGCCTAAAGTAACATCCACCTACAACACACTAGTAGATCGTTTCAGATTCAGTACTATGTACAATTTACTCTTAACTTAGTAGGCTAAGGAGCTGCGGTATTTTCTTCCGAGACGTGTTATTTGACTGAGGATTATTGAATCTTTCTGTCCACTGGGCTGCAGAGGGATGCTGCGCTCCGGCTACACTGTCAGGTTAAGAAACTTCAACTACCTGCCTCAGCTCTTCAAAGAGGGGCGTGAGCTCCTTCTCTAAACTGACAATCAGCCCTGCAAAGACAGAAGAGACAAAACATCCCATCAAACGACGTGACAGAGAAGCCTCTCTCCAAAACCCTGCAGCTCCCTCCCCTCCCAAGTCACAGGCAGTGTTTGCCAAAATGCAAAATGCTTCCCTTTGGGGAATAGCAGGCACGTTCCCCCATGGAAATAGCACTGCAACAGAGGCTGCCTGCAGCCCCCAGCACCAACAGGGGCAGCCCTGCAGCCCAGCTCTCCCCAGAGCTGCTGCTTCCCACAGCTACCCAGGCCCAAGGAAGAATTAAATCTGTGCAAGAATTAAATCCCTTTTTGCTTGTGCTCGTTAGCCAACGCCCTCATGAGCAAGGCCAGGTGCCTCGCTGAAGGATTCCCCCAGCCCACAGAACTGAGAAGACAAAGCCGGGCGTTACTGCAGAACGTGGAACTGATGGAAAGACACCAAAGAACTGGTTTGTACAACACAATCATTGCCCCTGGAGCAGCAAGAGTAAGGTTAATCACAGGAGAAACAGGCTTCTAACAGAATAACAACTTCAGCAAGTCGCCTAAAATGTATACATTTTTACTCGTGCTATTCCCTTCTCTCCCTCACAATACGCTGGCAAAATTCACAGCAGGAGCAAAGTTAACACACCTTGGAAGTAAATTCAGGTAACTTATTCCCAATAATTTAAACACCTGAGCCTTAAGATACTGCAATATTTAAAACACATGTGAAGACATACCTGTGTTGGCATTGCTGCTGGCAATGAAACTTACTACCAAAGGCAAGCGATTGAACTGCACCACCTGCAGGGAGAGAGCACAGCATTTAGCCAGCAGCTAACACCTGCTGGATGTCAGGGCTCTGCCACATAAATTCTTTCAGAAACAAGGGGCCTCCTCAGTTTAAAGGACAAGCAGGAGCAAAAGCCACAGAGCTGACTTTTCAGCCCATCCAATTTGTAAGATTCTGAACACACCAACAGAACTTACACCACAGCACAGGGAGCTGCACATGCAAAACCTGATGTTCCCTCCCTCCCATCTTCTGCGGTGTCAGCCACCAGGAATCTAACTCAGCTGAGACCACACTCTCCACAGGTAACAAGAGGGCAGGCAGGTTTATTCTTCTAAAATACTATTCCATGTACAGCAGCATCTCTTCTTCCATTAATAGGGAACTGGAACCTTGAGCACAATAAGCTACTAGCATCGAGAGGATCAAAGCAAGGTACTCAATGCATACAAACTCATTCATTCATCTATTTATTTTCCAAACAAAGCTAGATACTGTAGGCTAAGCAGTTGGCCAGTTTACTGCAGTCACAATAAAAAGCTCTCAAGGCCGCTAGAACTTCAGAAGGAGCAGAAACATAGTAGATGATGGAATTCAGGACACAAATAACCAGTTTGTAAAAATAACATGAGGGGTATTTCAAAGCTTTGTTACCTCAAAGTTACACTGGCAGCAAGATTAGCTATGAAGTAGGCTGCATGTGCTTATTTATCTTTAGGTATCACTGATTATAAGCAATTCTTGTTTGTAGAAGAGAACATACACCCTTCATAACAGATTCTGAAGGCCACATGAGCAGCACCCGCTCCAAATTCCCGACTACTGCCCGTTTGGAAAACCTGTTTTCAACCAGTAAATCTCAGTTTTGAGAAACATAAGAGAAGCTTAACAAATAGTGCGAAAGTTTAGCTCAGCCATTTAAGCAGCATGAGAAATAAACCACAAATACTTCCATAGCGGCCAGGTGGGAATCCAGCAGAGTTTAAATAACCCTTTCTACCTTCCTCAACGTAACGCAGCAACAGCTCGGGTCACTGAGAACAAACCACACTGAGGTCACTCACCTGGTATGTATTGTAATAGCAGATGATACTTTTGTTTTTAGAGAGTCCTAGTTTACTGCCCTGATCTGTGGCGAGG